AAAAGAAAAAGAAAAGGCAGCAATAACTTCAAGTTTCAATTAAAAGCAGTAATTCACTTCCGCGTGCCCTCACTGAAAGAGCAGAGTGTAATGGTTGTCTTTGCTCTTGCTTCTAGATCCCGCTCTCCTCACTGCTATATTCACTTCAGCCTTCCTTGTGGACCAAGACATCCTGCATCTTACCTCATCCAGGATGTGAGATAAAATATGTCTCTCAAGTGAGCAAAACTTACTCCCACATCTTGGTCTTGAATATCCTTCCTAATGAAACAAATCATTGCTCCTTGGAGCTATGGCTAGTTCTAGGACTGGAGCATTACAGTTACAAGATGAATCTAGAATAGTTTTTTACCCCAGAAAGAAATTACTGAAAAATGATGTGCATATGAAACAGACACAGAAGAGCTAGCCTGAAGGTGTACCCATGGGCAAATTCTGAGACAATAGGAAATAAAGAGAATTAAGCACATTGATACATTATATACCATTGAAAAAAGATAGGAAGACTTTACTCCATACTACTGATAGACAGACATACAGCTGGATAGATTGAAAGGAGAATTCTCACTAACAGTAGAATCCTGAATGTTGACTAAAAATGTAAAAAAAGTGCTAAAGCTGAAAGTCATGGTTTTGTAATCATAAATGAATGCTAACTATAAGAGAAAATTTTGACGAGAGGCAAGGTATTTGCATAGTCTTAAAATGTCTCCATATAGACAGCTTATTAGTTTATGTTTTTGTTTTTGTTTTGTTTTTTTTTGAGTTGGAGTCTCACTCTGTCAGCCTTCCAAGTAGCTGGAACTACAGGCGTGCACTACCACACTCAGCTAATTTTTTGATCTACTGTAGAGATGAGGTTTCGCCAAGTTGCCCAGGCGGGTCACGAACCCACGGGCTCAGGCAATTCACTCACCTTGGCCTCCCAAGGCTTGGGATTACAGGCTGAGCCACCGAGGCCAGCCGACAGCTTGTTAGTTTAAAAGAGGGAAAAAGCAATTATACAGTGAGAAAATTGGACCACATATGGGACAGGTGATCAAAATTAACAACTACCATGAGACAGATGGTCATCATGCCACGCACCTTCAGGCACGATACCCTTTTAGAAAGATACAAAATCACCTTGGTAGAATTCTGGCTATGAAAGCATTAACTGGATCCAGTCATGAGGAAATTATCAGGCAAACTTAAAAAGAGGAACATTTTATTTGAAAAGAGGGGGAGAGACTTTATTCTTCAGAACTGTCAATCTCATAAAGACACACACACAAAAGGCTGGGGAAATATTCCAGATTAAAGAAGGCTAAAGAGTCATGACAATTAAATGCTACATGACCCTAGACCAGATTCTATTCTGGAGAGGAAAAATATTATAAAGGATGTTATTAGATCTATTGAAAAAACTGAAACATAAACAGTAGATTAGATAAGAAAAATTGTATCAATATAGATTTCACTGATGTTAAAAATATTCTGTGCCGGGCTCGGTGGCTCAACCTGTAATCCTGCGCTTTGGGAGGCTGAGGTGAATGGATTGCCTGAGCCTGTGGGTTCGAGACCCACCTGGGCAACTTGGCGAGACCTCCTCTCTACAATAAATAAAAAAATCAGCCGGGTGTGGTAGCGCACGCCTGTAATTCCGGCTACTCAGAAGGCTGAGGCAGAAGGATCACCGGAACCCAGCAGGTCGAGGTTGTGGTGGCCGGGAGCGTGCCACTGCACTCCAGTCTGGGTGACAGAGTGAGACTCCAACTCAAAAAAAATAAATTGTTCTTCGATTATATAAGATAATATTCCTATTCTTAGGAAGTGCACACTGAAATAATCAGGAGTGAAGAGTAACTAGCTATGCAATTTACCCCCAAATGGTTTAGACATGGAAAAAGAGAGAGAGGACAAACAGGATAAAATGTAAGCAGCAAGTAAATCAGAATAAAGAGTATACATGCATATTTTGTATCACTTTTATATTAGCAACATTTCTGTAAGCTTAGAACTATTTCTGAATAAATGTTTAGGGAAAAAAAATTAAGAAATATGTCCCTGTTCAGAAAAAGTGCTCATTAGTAGCTCAGATAAGTAGTTTCTTACACCTGCTTTCCATGACAGTGCCTTCATACAACATTCATGGATGAGCTAAGTGGTGGGTTACATGCAATTTCAAGGACCCTAGCTATTACTTACATATTCAGTTATCAAATACTTCTCAATCAACTGCTGTATGCCAGAAAATGTGCTGTTGTGCCTCTTCTCTGCTTCTCTTTATTGAGTACTAGAGTGTGTGTGAATGAAAATAAAATACAGGAAAAAGAAGACAATAATTCACAAACAAATTATTAGCAGAAGCAAATTATTTATAATAAATTTGCTGTTCCCTACTCACCTGTGTAGGTGTGTTAGAAACTCATTTGAAATCCACTTGTTGAGTAGAAGCATCTTTTTTTTTTGAGTTGGAGTCTCACTCTGTCACCCAGACCGGAGTGCAGTGACCGCTCAGGGCCACCACAGCCTTGACATGCTGGGCTCCTGCGATCCTTCCGCCTCAGCCTTCCAAGTAGCTGGAACTACAGGCATGTGCTACCATGCCCGGCTAATTTTTGATTTATTGTAGAGACGAAGTCTGCCAAGTTTCCCAGGTGGGTCTCAAACCCGTGGGCTCAGGCAGTCCACTCACCTCGGCCTCCCAAAGCGCTGGGATTACAGGCTGAGCCACCGAGCCCGGCCGAGTAGATGCATCTTAAGACACTTTTTTTTAAACCTTTACTCAAGGTCCTAGAGGGGTGATATTTCCCCTCCTTATTTCTGTGACCTGTCCATGTTACCTAATAATAAACTATGTGTCTTGTCACTCATGGTTGAAAACTCTGCCTGAAATACTTAAAAAGCACCCCAGTTTTCTAAAATATGTCATTTATGTCAGCACTTGGAGAACTGTTATTAATTTCCTTAGAACCCAATGGACTCCTGGTCCTCTCGGGTGGTGACTGCCAAGTTGTGTGCCTTAGTCTCAGCATATAGGTTCCAAGATTTCTTGGCACTATGCATTGCCTTTTTAATATTATACTGAAAGACACAACTGATATTATTCACTTTCAAGAAATGTACAACCCACTCTGGATTATCAGAGTGTAATAGAAGAACTTGGCCTTTGGTACTTAACAAGTCTAGGTGCACATTAGCTCTGCCTCTTACTCTATGACCCACAATACCAAGTTACTTAATGCCTCTGATTCTGTTTCTTCTCTTTAAAATAGGAATACTAATGCAATCTTCCTCAGAGCACGACTGTTAGGATAAAGTGAGATAACACCACACAAAATGTTTGTAACAGTGTCTTGCACAAAGGGATTACTTAAAGAAGTTCGTCATTCATATCACTGTTGAAAAATAATCATAATTTGTATTTTATCAGCTGGCAAACTGAATCTCCCTTTAGAATAGGACTCTTCTTGCATAAATTGCTTTGGTGTAAGACTCAGAGATTATGGTTTGGAAAAAAAGCAGGAATATGAATGAAATAGTAAAAGTGTTCTGCACAGTAGTGGATCAAAAATTAGGTATAAAGCAACATCAACAACAACAAAGGAAAGATGTTTGGGATAAAAAAAATTACAAAGGAGAGGAAGGATTGTCTACATGGTAAGGTGCCATAGGATTTAGGAGGTGGGATGTTGTGTTAAATTTTGAGTTGTCTGCCTTGTCACACTCCGGCCCTGTATGCCTTCCCAAACTTCCTGTTAAATTTGTGACTTGAGTGTTTTTATTTTATTTTGTATTTGTTTGCCAACTTTTTTCCCTAATACAAATCAGGGTAAATGGAATGTGTTTCATGACTGGAACAACTATGAGCAGAGAAGAATAAACATGTTGAATAAAAGATGCAAGCAAGATGGAGACATTTGCAGGAGACTAACTAGAAGTTATAAAGGACTTTGAGAAGAAATGTCTGATAAAGAAAAGAAATCTTGGAGAAATAGGATGAAGTCTTGGCGACATATGAGGACTGACAATTAAGTTCATGAACGCATCCTAGAAAAAGTGATGAATAACTCATTGCTGAATATCACTACAGTCACCTTTGAAGTACTTCCCTTGGGAAGCTATGCACTGACACCAGTGCCTTGTCTACCTGTCAATGCAATTTTGGAACACTTTTTCTGGAATGGCCATCAGAGCTGTCATTGTATTACACTTGATGTCATGAATGTCATCAAAATGTCTTCCTTTTAATATTTTCTTTATCTTTGGTAAAGAAAATGTCATTGGAGGCTAGATCAGGTAAGTGGTGAGGGTGTTATAGTACATTTATTTGTTTACTGGCTAAAAACTCCCTTATGGACAGTGTTGTATGAACTGGTGGATTGTTGTGATGCAAGAGCTCCTTCAGGACCACTTTTGCTCACACCTTTCTCATGCCAAGATTTTCAGCTAACTTTCCTGACCATTTCTCTACTGAGATTTATTTGGTCTACTATGCTTCTCACAGTCAGCCTATGATTTTGAAGCGTAATTGGACAAATTTTTGCAATGTTTTTGTCAGTTCTACTTGTTACTGACCATCCTGACCCTTCTTCATCAGTGACTCTTTCTCTTCCCTTAGAAAAACTTTTACTCCACTTGTACACTGCTGCTTTCTTCATGGCATTATCCCCATAAATGTGGACTAACATATCTCTGATTTCACTTCCACTCTTGCCAAGTTTAACAAGAAAGCTAATGTTTGCTCATTGCTCAAATTCAAACTCTGACATGCTTATAACAGCTCTGATGGCTATTCCAGACAGTTTCATAATTGCTTTGACCAATGAACTAGGCAGTGGCATCAGTGCATAGCTGCCCAAGGGGAGTACTTTGAAGATGACAGTAGTTTTATTCATCAATGAGGTAGTTCTTCTAGGATGAGTTCTCGAATTTAATTGTCAGACCACATATGAGTTGCATTCTTATTATGGTTGAAAGAATGGATATAACACAAAAAACCCACTGTCTAGAATATTTTAAGCTAAAGAGAAAAAAAGAACACTAGAATTTAGAAAAAGATCAGCTGTCCATGGTTCTATATCTATAATTTCACAATATAAAAAACTCTAAATATGGAGTTAATTTGTTTTGCACCAATACTCTTTTAGTGAAAAGATCTCTTTATTCACCATTAGGCTGGTGAATATTCCCAAGGTGGGCATATTCATACATTTCACTGAAGCCTTCTGGGTGCAAGGGATCCTTTGCCTCAATCTTCCAAGCAGCTGGGATTACAGGTGCAAGCCACCATGCCCAGTTCCTGAAGCATTGCTAATGTGCTGGATTATGATGTGCTGTCCAGAGTCTGCTAAGGTTATTATCAATATAGGTGTATACAACATATCCTTACTCAGCTCAGAAAATTCTCAATTCTCAAAAAACTCTGGACCCAGGATTTTGGATAACAGATTATAAATGTGAACTCAGAAAGAAAAAAGCAAGTGAGTAAAAACAAGATTACCTTCCAGTGTATTTCTAAAGCTGAAATTGGCAGCTTTATCCATGGGACCAGATTCATACTGGGTCAAACTTAGGCAAAATTCCACATCAGCTGAAGAAGGGAGCCTTGGAGTCCTGGCTTTGTCATGGTTTCCAGGGTTGCGCAGTAATGGTCCCTCAGGAGTTCCATTGCATAAAGTCTGACGGCTGTTGTACTCCTCCAGTCGGCTACAGACAATCTGTACAAAACACTTTCATGTTAAAGAGAGTGTCATCAACTCTGAGTCAAGAGAAGGTAGAAGGGTTGGAACTCCTGATTATCCCCTTTATAAAGTTATAATTATTATATTAATACAGTCATGCATTGCTTAACAACGGAATGTGTTTTGAGAAATGTGTTGTCAAGCAATTTTGTCATTGTGCAAACATCCTTAAATGTACTTCCGCAAACCTGGGCTTATGGCTTCTAGACTAAAAACCTGTACAGCATGTCACTGTACTGAATATTGTAGGCAATTATAACACAATGGTATTTGCAAATCTAAGCAATTAAACATAGAAAAGGTACAGTAAAAATAAAAAATGGACATCAGTATATATTAGGCACAATGAATGGAGCTTGCAAGACTAGAAGTTGCTTTTGATGAGTCACTGAGTGGTAAGCAAATGTGAAGGCCTGGGACATTACTATACACTACTGTGGACTTTAAAACACTTAGGCTACACTAAATTTATAAAAATATTTTTCTTTCTTTAGTAATAAATTAACCTTAGCCTACTGTGACTTTTTTACCTAATTAACTTTTTATTTTTTTAAAAACTTTGACTCTTTTGTAATAATACTTAGCTTAAAACTCAAGCACATTGTGGAAGTGTAAACATATTTTCTTTTATTATATACTTATTCTACAAGCTTTTCCCTAATTAAAATTTTTTTAATCATTTTTACTTTTAAAAAATTCTGTTAAAAATTAAAACACAAACATACACAGTATCCTAGGCCTACATGGGGTCAGAATCATCAATATCATTATCTTCCACCTGTGCATCTTGTCCCACTGGAAGGTGGCAATAACACACATGGAGCTGTCATTTCCTATGACCTTAATGCCTTCTTCTGGAATAACTCCTGAAGAACCTGCCTGAGGCTGTTTTATAGCTAACTTTTTTTATATAAATAAAAGGAGTATACTCTAAAATAACAATAAAAGTATAGTAAGTAAATACATAAATCAGAAACTTGATTATTATCATTATCAAGTATTATCTACTGCACATAATTGTATGTGCTAGACTTTTACATGATTTGCAGCTCACTAGATTTATTTACACCAGCATCACCACAAACATATGAGCAATGTGTTTGCACTATGATATTATGTCTACTACAATGTTACCAGGTGATAGAAATTTTTCAACTCCATAATAATCTTATGGGACCACTGTTATATATACAGTCTGTCATTGATCACAGTGTTGTTATGTGGTCCATGACTGTATTTTAAAGAATTTTATTGAAGGAAGCAGTTTTCTGAAGGCTGCTGAATAATCCATGAAAGCTAAAACCTAAACCAGGGTTATAGTCTTGTATCTATCAGTTAAGAAATGACTTAAACTGCTAAGGCCTCAACTTTCAAATGATAATAACACAAACTACTTCATATAATTTTATAAATATTTGATAAGACCATGAATTCAATAAATATTTATAAAACCCCTATCATATGTCAAGCACTGAGTCAGGTGCTGAAGCTGGGGTTGATAACCATAGAGACAGTCAACACTGTGACTATAAATCCCATGGCATGTGGTGTGGTCAAGAGTAAATGTTCAATAGGTAGTAGTGCCACAATATTAATCCATATTAAATTCAGAATGCCAAGAACTGGAAATAATTCTACTTTGTGCTTTTTCCATAAAATTTCCCATTAGTAATGTCTTTTTTTTCTTGATGTGCAGAACAACACTTTTCTAAAGCATAGCAATTTCTATGACCCTTTAATTTAGATAGAACCAGGGTGATTTTCTTTGCAGAATCATCATCTTAAAATAATCATTTCTCACTTTTTTAAGTTATAAAGATGTGGGGTACAATTCAGGGTTAGGTATATAAACATTGATCCTGCAGGTACCCTTGCTGATGAGGTATGCCCCTCTCCCCTAGCAGTTTTCCTCAACAGCCAATCCCACCCTCCTCCCCTGACACTTTTCCACTACTGCCAATCACTATCTTATAGCATTATAATTATTCAAGGTCAGCTTATGAGTGAGAACATATGGAACTCAGTTCTTTGTTTCTGTGATAAATCACTGAGTATGATTGACTCCTAATCTACCCAAGTTGCTACAAAGTGCATGTATTTGTCCTTCTTTATGGGTGCTTAATATTCCATTGTTTATAGGTACCACATTTTTATAAATCCAGTTCAGCTTCGATGGGCAACATGGTTGGTTCCATGTTTTTGCTATTGTGAATAGAGCTGCAACAAACATACGTGTGCAGATATCTTATTCATAGAATAATTTGAGTTCCTCTGGGTATATTCCCAATAGGTGAATTGCTAGTTCATATGGAAGGTCAATTTCTAGTTCTTTCAGAAATTGCCACAATGTCTTCCAAAGAGGTTGTACTAGTCTGCATTCCCACCAGCTGTGTAGAAGTGTTCCTTTTTCTCTACATCTCACCAGCATCTGTTGTTTTCTTAATTAATGATGGCCATTCTTACAGGGGTTAGGTGGTATCTCAAAGTGGCTTTGATTTGCATTTCTCTGATGATGAGTGAGGCTGACTACTTTTGCGTGTGTCTGTTGGCTATCCATATATCTTCTTTTGAGAAGTGTCGATTCATGTCTTTTGCCCACTTTTTATAGGGGCTGTTTGTTTTTTTCCTTTTAGTGCATTTGAGTTCCTTGTAGATCCTAGATGCCTTTGTCAGGTATACAGTTGGCAGATATTTTTTTCCCATTCTGTGGGCTGTCTCTCTGCTCTCTTGATGGTTTCTTTTGCAGAAGCTCATTAATTTGATGAGGTTCCGTTGTCTATCTTATTTCTTAAGGTATTGGCCTTTAGGGTTCTGAATAGGAATTGGTTCCCAGTTCCAATTTCCATAAGGGTGTCTCCTGCATTTTCTAAGATTATTATAGTATGAAGTTGTAATTACGTTTAGGTCTGATCCATTTAGAGTTAATTTTTGTGTATGGTGATAGGTAGGGGTCCTGTTTCAATCTTCTGCATGTGGTCAGTCAGTATTCCCAGCACCATTTGGTGAATAGGTTCTCCTCTCCCCAGTGGTTGTTGTTGTTGTTGGAGGCTTTGTCAAAGATGAGTTGGTGGAAGAATTGAGGCTTTGCCTCTGGAATATCTATCCTGTTCCATTGGTCTATGTGCCTGTTTTTGTACCAATACTAGGCTGTTTTGATTACCATAGCCTTATAGTAAAGTTTGAAATCAGGAAGTGTGATATTTCCTACTTTGTTTCTTTTGCTAAGGATTGTTTTGTTTGTGGTCATTTATGTTTCCATATGAATTTCTGTATTGTCATTTCCAGGTCTGAGAAGAATGATGTTGGTAACTTAATGGGTATTGCGTTGAATCTGTAGATTGCCTTTGGTAGGATAGACATCTTAACCATGTTGATTCTTCCATGATTCCATGAGCATGGAATAATCCATTTGTTTCTGTCCTCTTGGATTTTTTTAAGCAGTGTTTTGTAATTCTCATTGTAAAGATCTTTCACTTCTCTAGTTAGGAAGATGCTGAGGTATTTCATTTTTTTAGTGGCTATTGTGATGGGATCATGTTTTTTATTTGGGTCTCTGCCTACTTGTGGTTGGTGTATAGGAATGCAACTGTCTTTTGCACATTTATTTTGTACCCTGAGACTTTGCTGAAGTCCTTTATCAGTGCAAGCAGGTTTTTGACAGATTCTCTTGGATTTTCAAGGTATAGGATCATATCATCAGCAAAGAGGGATAACTGGACTTCCTCTTTTCCTATTTGAATACCCCTGATTTCCTTCTGTTGTCTAATTGCCTGATCTAGGATTTCCAGCACAATATTGAACAAGAGGGTGAGAGTGGGCTGCCTTGTCTTGTTTCAGTTTTCAGAGGAAATGTTTCTAGTTTCTCTCCATTTAGCAATATGTTAACTGTGAGTTTGTCGTAGATGGTGCTTACTATTTTTAGGTATCTTCCTTCTATACATAGGTGTTTGAGGGTTTTATCAAGAAGGGAGGCTGGATTTTATCAAAAGCTTTTTCTGCATCTCATGAGATAATCATGTGGTTCTTGTTTTTACATCTGTTGATGTATTTAATTACATTTATGGTCTTGCAAATGTTGAACCAGCCCTGCATCCTGGGGATGAAGCCTACTTGGTCATGGTGGATGGTTTTTGAAATATGTTTTTGGATCTGATTTGCTGGAATCTTGTTAAGGATTTTTGCATCTATGTTCATAAGGGATATTGGCCTGAAGTTCTTTTTCTTCATTGGATCTTTACCCGTTTTGGGTATCAGTGTGATGTTTACTTCATAAAATGATTTTGGAAGAATTCCATCTTTCTCAATTGTCTAGAATACTTTTAGTAGGATTGGTATCAGTTCTTCCTTGTATGTTTTGTAGAATTCTGCTAGAAAGCCATTCGGTCCAGGGTTTTTTTTAGTAGGTAGTTTTTGTATTACAGAGTCAAATTTCTGGGTTGTTTTTAGTCTATTCAGTGTCTCAGTGTCTTCTTGTTTTAGCCTGGGGAGGTTGTGTGATGTCAGAAAGTCCTCCATTTCATCTAGGTTTTCAAGTTTGTTTCCATATGTGTACATAGTAATCTCTCATAATCTTTTGTATTTCTTCAGGGTCACTTGTGATTTGATCTTTTCTATTTCTGATTGTGTTTTTGGACTTTTTCTCTCTTTTTCTTGGTCATTCTGGTTAGGGACTCATCAATCTTGTTAATTCTTTCAAAGAACCAGCTTTTTGTTTTGTTGATGTTTTCTATGGTATTTTTGTCTTCTATGTCCCATATTTGGGCTCTTATTTTTGTGATTTGGATTATTCTGCTAAAGTGGGGTTTTGGTGATCTCCTTCCAGCTCTCTTAGGTGATTTGTTAGGCTCTCCATCTTTCTATTTTCTTGATGTGTGCTCATAGAAATATAAATTCCCCTCTGAGAACTGATTTCATGGCATCCCAGAGGTTTTGGTAAGATGTTTCTTCATTTTCATTTTTTTCCAGGAATCTTTCAA